GAGTCCGTAGGTTGGGCATCTCTGCCAGGGATTCCCAAGGGAAAGTTGAGAGCAGGTTACCATCCAGCCGTAGCTCATGCAGTTGTTTCAAGTTATAAAAACTGCTGATATCAATGTTGGCTACACAATTGTAAGTTATCCACAGGTATTTGAGATCTACTAGGTAATAAAAGGCTTCGGTTGGAATCCTTCGTATGACAGTTTTCTCTATACGTAGTTTTACAGTATCCACAGGAACATTCACAGGGATCTCATACATGTCCTGATCATTACAGAGCACAGACCTAGCAGAGAGACACAGAGAGAGAAACAGGCTTTTCTTTATCAGATATTTGTATTTCAGATTTAAATGCAAATGCTATTATTGTCTGCAACACTACTGGTAGAGTAGAGAATGTCAAACCAAGAACAGTCATCTGTATTTAAAAAATGGAAAGGACAAATGTGGAGTTTCTCAAAAAAAAGGATAGAAAATAGCAATGATAATTTCACATGATATCAAGATTTGCTTTATTACAAAGCGTGCAAGCACCATCTTCTGCCCATCATCCTATTGCCAACTGAAAAACAGAAGCCATGGTATAAGCAATAATACATGCGTGTATCTCAAGTGGGAAATGCATGACATTTTATGAAAATTCACAATATTGCTTTAATACTTTCTATTTTTTCTCCATGATAAAGATTAAAAGTATTTGTGTATATTTACCTTTCAGAATAGACTGAGAATCGAAAATTTCTCAAAATAATTGCTTTCTAGCCCTCTGTCTGATGTCTATATAGAAATTACCTGTTTTTTAGGAGTTCTAAGAACTTTCTGTTCCTGTGGATTTCAGTGAAACGGGATTTCTCAGCATTTTCAAAAATTAGTATGTTTCCATTTCTTTGAGGTATTATTAACTTAAAGATATTAGCTTGAAGATTCCCCTCCATTTAATAAGCCTGTCTTTAATTTTTTCCCCTTTTCTCTATATTCTTCCTCTGTTTTACTTTCTCCTCACATGGTTTTTTAATAGGTATGTTGTGACAAGTAGCAATGACAAACGGTATTTTTCAAAACTGACATGACAATACACAGATCATAAAATTTCAGATTAAACTCTTTATTACCAAAATTACACGATTTTCCTGCAGATTAAAATAAATAATAAACTACTACATTTATTTAAACCAGAATCACCTTACCATAGACAACTAGTTTCTAGAAATAGAAAGGATATTACAATAGTAGGAAAATCGTGGAGCAGAAATTGCCTTCTGCAGAAAACTGAAGATTTAGAGTAGCTATTTGCTGAGCACAAAGCCATAATCACCATCTGCTCCTACTCAGGAACACTGCTAGCCATACAACACCAGTGTAAAATCTGCCTTTATTTCAACTATGCTAGAAGTAATTTGCAATGTATGAAAACATTATTTCCAATTTCTTTGACCCTTTTCCGTATAAATTGCATTGTATAACAAATAATAAAACATGTACCTTGCTCCAGTGCCATCGCTTCTGCCATGGTAAACGCAAGTGCATTGTGAAGGACAAAACCCATGCACTTCTCCAAAAAAGCTCATTAGGAGGTAGAAGTAAATAAACAGATACATGGCTTCCTCCCAGCAGAACTGATATGAAAAAATTTGAAAACTTTATTCCTAGGCACTCATGTGCAGTGTGCTACAAACGTGAATGTAGACATCTATTTAGTAACAGCAGATTACATCAGATTAGCTGAGATCTGTAGCTGCTTAACCTTCAAATGTATCCTGAAAGGGATCAGTTAAACCTGTTCATTCTTTATTCTGTCAGAGCACGCTCTGTTTCAAATCATATCCACCATGTTTCAAGGCTATTTTAATATGTAGCTTGTATGTAATAAAATAACTCTTTTCTCCTTGTAAGAGGCAATGCATTAGTTACTGTCCAAAGAGTGCTCCAATATTCCTGAAGGAAATATAGTACAGGACGAGGATATTATATGGCATTTTCTTTAGTACTAAAAATTATATATTAATAGGAAGTCTAGACTCCAGAGCTTTAAAAAAAATCCCGTAAAAACAGGTTTTTACCAAAAAAACCCACTACATATATTTTAAATAAGTTACACACTGGAAGCCAAAATTTAGATGTAGGCATACATAACAATAGAAGATATTTATTCTCAAAGTCTGAGAATCATCAAGAGTGCATATACTACCGTCCATAAGTAGATCTATGCATAGTCATGTTTTCCATCCTGAATAAATCCTTTGCTCATATCTCCAAAGGTACTTTTAAAAAATTACACAGCAGACCTATATAACCATGAGACTGATTTAGAAATGATGATAAATTACCACAAATATTTACTCAGTTCCATGTGTCTTCCAAGTGCCAAGCTTTAGGGTGCATTTTCGCTCATTTTCAGGATTTGCTGTGCAGTGAGAAGTACCAAAAATATTCTACTACTAAAACAAAAGTTGTCTTTTTCCATCAAATACATTTTGTTGTGTGAGCCAACACTTTAAAAATACATCAAATATCCTGAAACTGCTTCAGAATCCTAAAAGATGGTAACAGGTTCTATGGGGTTTGTCTAGATATTTTGACACCAGCATATTCTCAGAAACAGAACTTTGCAAAGCATAGCAACATGGACACTTGGTATAGAAATATATTCACACAGGAAGAATCCAGACTATTTCAAATCTGGAAAATTTTTAAGGGAAGCTGAAGTAAAGTAATTGATGAAAGGAATTACAGGTACAAAATCTATCTTACTGAACCCAAGCACTCCCTGCTTCAGTCTCTCCCTGCCCCTCTCTCACCTTGTCCAACCCTGTAAGAGTCACTGTGACTACTTCACTATCTTTTTTTATTTGACATAAACCAATAAATTTCACTCTGAAAACCTAAAGTCTTAGTGGTTTTTGGTTTTTATCTTCTTAACCTATCTAAAAAAGTTTACTGCGATTAACAGAAAACAGCTGGCTGGCTGGGGCAGGTTATTATTCCAAAAAGATTGATCTTCCAAAAGTTTAATTAACTTTTCACTCCTTTCATGTAACTTGTGCAGGCAAATGAGTTCTACGATGTCAGTGCACTTTGAGATACACTCATGGGCAAGGCATTGTTTATAGTTATCTCTTGTCTTGTCTGACATCGCACCATGGCCAGGATCGCCCTTCGAAACCTGCAAAGGACAAGAAGAAGAAAGCAGAAAGATCATTAGATGGAGAAACAAATACAAAGAAAAACTGGGTAACCTGACCTTAAGTATTACAGCAGTTTCCAATTTTAGTAAAATTTACTTAATAAAGACCAGTGTATGTGGAATTCAAAAGGACATAAGTCTCTTTCACTTCCATGTACAAGAACAACTCAGTTAAGTTCAGTGTTTCTTCTACAACAGAGGTCACAGCAGCTTTTGCTTATCCCAGGACAGAATATAGTCATAAGATGAATTTACAGAACAGGGAAAAAAAACAAGATGATTTTTCATTGACTCAGCAGGATCAGACAAGTTCACCTAGACGGAGATGACAGGCTCTGCTTCTAGGTTGGTAGTAAAGAAAGGAAGGATGCTTCCTTGCAACAGCCAGTTCTCAGTCAGAGGCATTGGCTTGGTAAGAGCATTTGATATGCTTGTTCAAAACACAAGAAAATTTTTAACTTATTTACTTTAACAAAAAGTGTCAATCCACCCCAGTCAATCAGGATGTGATGCATCTCACATCAGGCAAGGAAATCTACAGAAGTGCCGGTGCAACCCAAGTTCCACAATGATCCAGTTTTGAGAAACCACTAAGGGACTTTCAAAACTCTCTTACAAAAGACTTGTTAATGTGTTCTCAAAAGTCTTTACCAATTCAGTATGTTCCGATGATGATTAAATAATTTATTTTATCTTTTCCTGTCCAAAAGGTGATCTTTGGTAAATCAACAGTGGCTTACTCTTTGATCTCTTCACTAATCAGTTTGTCATATTCTACAGATCATCTTTCTATAGTTAATAATATGCTAAAATCATGAAGTAGACTGGTACTAAATTAGGAACACTTACTTTTTGTTTGCAACAACATAAATGCAGGGATTGTAGAATGTGGAAGACTTTGCAAAAAGAGGCGCTATGATGGCCATTGCAGGAGAAATTTTCTTTGGGTCTCCAAAGGAAGACCATAAACACACAATAGAATATGGAGACCATGCCACCAAGAACATTACAATCATCACAACAGACATCTGTAAAACAAGAAGAACATAAGCAGTATTACCTCAAGACCTACCTCAAAAGCACATACACCTTTGTGAAAACAGACCTATCCAGAACCAAATAACAACATGTAAACAAGCCCACCTGATAAATTTTGAAAGGTTATAATGCAGTCTCACTTTGGGATTTTACTAGTACATCCCACAGTCACGCACTTTGGCATGCTGTTATGTCATTATGTACAATCTTCCTTCATAGTCAGCACTACTGATTATGTTAAAACTGTCCCTTAGAAGTTTAAATGGCCAGACAGAACTTCACACAGGAATTATGACCAACGTAACAAGTAATTCTGGAATGCTATTAGCAAAAATAAAAGTTTAAAAAAAAAAAAAAAAAAAACGGAGAGAAAAATCTAAGCCAATTTTTTAATAAGGTTGTTAATAAAAATGTGTCATAAGACTTAACTGTGGTAGAGTTAAATAAAAGAAAGTAAATTTTCTAGTACACAAAGGCTCAGTCCATATACTTAAGGAACCCAGAAGCATCTCTGCTTGGTTTAATGAGGCATGGTAGCCATGTTCAAGCACCATACTAAGGAAATATCCAAGCACTCTTGTCTTCTCTGCCTGCCTGTCAGAAACGACAGCCTGAGCGTGTTGGGTCCCACACCCCTGAACACACCACAGCTAGAACTCAACAGTGACAAATTGAGGGTAGCCAGGGGGTAGAAGAGGAGTCAACTGGGACAGACTTCTCTGGATTTTGTCAGAGACACGAATCAATAATTGAAACTGGAATGGAAATCTCAAACTAATCAAGAGGACAAAACAAATCACAAGAAAACCAAACAAAACTGCAGGGATCTTTGTATGTACAGAATTCCCTACTGTTGTTTATCTATACATTTATTCAGTCTTCTAGTGATAAACAAAATAAGAAACAAGGATTAAATGGCTACTTTGTGTGAGCATGACCAATAGACAAGCAATGACTCTCTCCACAGAAGATTCCTATTAAAATACAGATGCAATACCTATTAATAATAATGTAAAGAAAGAATCCTTTCATTTAGTATTTTGTTGGGTGCATAGAAAGCTTAGAAGATGCTAATTTGTGAAAAGCCAGCAGTCCAGTATCTACTGGATACTGCTTAACTCCAAAGCTTGAATTTTTTTCTCTCTTTTTTTTTTTTTTTTTTTTTTTAACTAATAACTCAGTGTCTTCGACTGCAAAACCAGAGAAACATGTTTACTTCACAAATGTGAGTCTGAATTTATAACTGAATCCACAGTTTCAGGCACTTTAAAACTTCTTCAGAAGGGCAGAATGCTTAAATTATTATTTTTAGGTTAAAATGTAATTTTTCAGATTTTTAGCAATATAAAAAATTTTCAAGGAATGTTAAGTTTGCATTGATAAGTAATTTGAAAGCATAGATAGTCTTCTGTCCAATTCTCTATCACTTTTTTCATGTCCAAACATAAACCGTATCTTTACAAAAAGGCAAAGGACCTAGTGAACTTTCTTAATGTCTTTTATACATTAAAAGAATGTCAACCTTCCAGAAAGGATACCTAATTTTATGCCAAAACTCACACTTGCTATTGTTTACATAACAAAGAAATAAGCTCAACAGACAGAAAAGAACAAAGGATTGAAAGGATACAGCTTGGAAGCTTAGAAATGCACTCTCCTTTCTAGGCCATGCGTTCGTACCAGAGTTGGCCAGTCCATTTCAGATCAGATACATCCGTGAACCTAGCAGAAAGCTGAAGGACTCTGCAGACACAGAGAGTAAAAGTCTGGCTAGGACACCTCTGAGATACATTTATATGTAATGCCAGAGGGCAGAGGCAAGGAAAATTCATGTTCAGTTCAAAGGAAAATTCAAAGTAGCTGTTCAACTGGAAAGAGTACTAGGCCAAAAGTAAAGAATCCAGTGTTGTCAGACTATATATTTATAGAGAGAGAGTGGTATAAGAATTTTCACCAAGGCTAAATTTCAGTTAATATTTAGCATGAAAAGGGAAAAGGGGGAATGCAGGGAAGAGAAATGCTTAAAAGGTTGCACTGTTCCTTTGCCCCCAAGACTTTAACACAAAAGAATATGCTTAAAACAAAACACTCTGTCATTTACCATACCTTTGTCACATCTACTTGGTCAGACCAATCTATGTTGATGCTCTCCAGGCAGTTACTGCTGGTATATTGTTTCATTGTCCGGGAAACATTGTAATAACAGTAAAACATGACTGTTAAGGGTACAACAAAATTAACAGCAATTACACTCATTGTGTAGGAAACAAAGGACCTGATAAGACAGAAAAACAAAACACAGTAACTTACAAATAGCCATCCAGGAAGAGTTACTGAAGAATTTGATATTTTGATTTATGATTTTTTTTTAAAAAAAGCTTTTAAAGAATTAGGAAAATTTGCTTTAGCTATTATTTCTTTAGGAACAAGTCTTGCAGTTTTCGACCATGGCTCAATTCCTATGCTTTTTTTCTAGATGTCCTCCATTTTATTTCCATTGTTTTAAAATTATTTTTATACACGAGGCCTCGTACTTCAGAAAGAAGTTATACCGATATAGTGGTGAATTAAGTAGTCTCAGCCTTCAGTAAGACAGAAAATTTAAAAGAAAGGGTGAAGGGGAATCTTACGCATCATTTTTTCTCCAATTTACTGTGCACGTTGCTCCAGTCGGATCCGGAGCGTAGCTAGCCCAGCCCACAGTAGGCATGGAAGCCCAAAAGACTGCATTGATCCAAGCAGCAAGGATTAGAGCGGCATAGCTACGGGCAGTCATTCTTCTCCCTGCGGCCAAGCACATACAGTCAGAAACCGTTGTCATCTTTTGCATCTTTCCAGTGACAAGTGGCTTCCAGCAAGTACATACCAGATTAACAATGACCCTTTCAAAGGCCTACACTCCTGAACGCTGTAGCATACGTGTTTTCTACTCCTGAACATCTCAAGCCTTCCAGCCTTTAATGCCACTTAAGTACTATCACCAATTCCAGCTCACAGCATACAGGCAATACCTGATCCTAACCCCATGCCAAAAAGCTTGTCATGCAACAGTGCATTCAGGTACATTTTTGCATGATTGCAGGCAAAGGAATTAAATGTTACAATGCAGCCATAACAGAGAGGAGAGAAAAACATCCAGTACAGTGTTAACACAATGCTAGAGGCACAAACCCACTCGATAGAGGTCAAAACTTCCTGCAGCTAGGGGCTTTCCATGTGCTTCTGTATATGCATGTGGCCCTCTAAAGACTGGAAGTGGCCATGAAAATACAATTTATAAACGGAATAATAGCCTAACTGTGAAATTTTCACTTTCACAAGCAGTACCATCCAGGCCAACTAGATAACTTACTTAACCAAGTACTCTGGGATCACGGCCTAAATTCAAATTATGCACAACACTGTAATTATGGAGTCATTCATGAGAGTACAATACAATTAGACCCATTTCATAGAAACCTAACAGTGAAATAATTTTGACCATAAGTACAGTACCTATATCAGGCCTGCAGATTGTCAGGTAACGGTCAACTGCAACAACAGTGAGCAAACCAATACTCGCCATCCCAAAAAAGATATTTAAGGCAGCATAGATCTGAAAGTAAAACAAGCAAACAAACAAAGTCCTTTCTGAGAAATCTTTCAGAGGTGCAAGCACAGATTTGTGGACTAACTCAAAGGCATGATGATACATTACATTCAGCCAGTGTTCTCTTCCATAAGTAAGGTACTGAAGGAACTAAATCAATGCAAGTAATTTGGATCTGGCTCATTTAAAATTAAACATTTCAAAAGCAACCTGCTTGTGTGCACATCAGAAATCCTAAAGACAAGACAGTAGTCTAGAAAGCAAACAAACACCATACTTCAATATACAAATTTTGAGATTCAAAGAGAAAGAGTTTGGAGGTTGAGGGGTTTTCAATTCATGTTCTCAGTATGCGTCAAAGAAACCTGAAGGGCAGGTTTTAGTTCATAAAAACAGTCATGGCTTACACCTGTTTCACAGACATGGAACACTGATTTTCTCCGTTGACCCCCATTTTTACATGTGTCAGATCTACTGCACAGAATGACATGCTGCAATCCCAGCTTGCTCCAAATTCACCTGCCCAGACATCCCATCGGCAGCCTGACCAGGAAGGATGACTGAGAGGGCTGTATTACCACTGGTACCCCAGAAATACAGAACCCTGTGCCAGACCACATGCCACCAGAGGTTATAATAAAGCTACAGAACACTCAGCCATCTCTGCTCACAAGATTCATTTAAGTTAAGTTGACATAAGTTGTGCTTCAAGTGATCTTAACTCCCAAAGCACTGGTTGTGAGATTTCACATCAACACACTGCAAGTCAGTCTAGATTCAAAGATGACTGAATTTTGAGCTTGAAATAACTGTGTGCTTAGGCAACTGATGTCAGATTGTTATAATAAAGGTCCATTTTATAGAGGTCCAAATTGTATAGTGTTGCGAATATTTTCCTTGAGTCACATGTTTAGCATATGCCTTCACATTACTATGCATTTTCCTGGGAGTTTAAGCCCAACAGTCTTTTAAAAAAGTAGATTTAAATCACAGTACACAGCAAGCAAAGGGCACCCTTTCTCTGCTATGGAAGGACAATTTTTCAGTTGGTGTACTTTTAAAAATACAGCTATTAAAACTAGGCTAAATCTTTAATGGAGACAAATAATCCTGCAGGCCTTCATTTTGGGTATCCTCATAACGTCATCCAAAAGAACGTGTACTTGCCAAGAAGAACTCATCAAGATCTGTCAAGCTCATCATCAAAACAGTAGTCACATCTGAAGTCTTTTAAATATCAAATAATTATCAAATGTGCGTGTGCCACTATAAACTTCTTCGTTTGGGGATTTTATTTCCTTAAGTCTGTTGTACAATCTCTAGTTGATAAATATAAGGTTACACTTTAATGTTTTCAGATTATAAGTTTGAAATTAAATTCACACAAAATCCTGTATGCAGAAATTGTTGACATTGCTGAATATCAGTTCCATGGGTAGAGTCAAATTTTGGATCTCCATCTCGTCTCTTAAAAGAACTAATATTAGGTAGAGCTTCTATTTATTTCTCAGTTTCTTTTCAAGTGCTCAAAATTTTCTCTCTGACTGAATTTCAATACCTGGCATCCAGTATATCCAAATTTCCAGCTTCCATGCAGGTCTGAGGCAGCCGACATAGGGTAACCAATGCCACTGACACCAATGTCAGTAAAAGCCAAGTTGATAATAATTGCATTGGTTGCCGTCCGAAGCTCTCTGTACTTAACAAAGATGCCTAACACAACAATGTTACTGAAAATGCTTATCACTCCTGTAAAAACAGAAAAAGGGAAACTTTACAAAAGATACACACCAGACAGCAATATGCACACAGAAGAAAATGCAGTCTATTGTAGTATCAAAGTCCTAAACAAGTTTTATTTTCAGTCATGCGCAGTTTTGCAAAGAGGATAGAAACCTGAAAAGGAGAGAAAAGTTTTTGCAATTAGGTAACTTCCACTTGGATTCTGTAAGGGTCAAAAGTTGAGAGTTTTGCCAAACCTGGGACTTGCGATGCAATGACAACAAGCATAGCAGAAATCCAAAGGCATCTTGGCTTATGATTCAAACACTTCAGCCATGGAGCACCGTGCTGTCTTCCATGGCAAAAAAAAAAGAATGCAAGTTAACAACTGGCAAAAAAATGTGGTGCTTATGATGCATCTAGTCCAGCAGAAGGCCACCACCTGAGATCTTCAGTGAAGTGCTTCCACTGTGGATTCAGACAACAATCCTGGGCAGAAGGAACACAGAAGCTTTGACTTTGCTACCACTACCCCAGCCAGACTAACTCCCCTCTCCGCTCATGAGGTCTCAATTCTTTGCAAGCATCAGAGTTGGCTCAGGTTGTTGCAAATTGTATTTTCTAAGCCTTGTCAAGCTGACCAGATGCTCTGCACAGCCTGCCACAAGGCTGGGCCTGCACCAGAGCTATTTCCTCCACCTGACAAGCTCTAAGGTTGGTGTCATAGCCATGGTAGAAGTCCACCTCTGCACAACTTCCTCCTACCTCACTAACCTGTGTCTTGTTAAATCTCTTTGCTCTGGCTTGACTCAAACTGTGTCTGAAGTCTGTTATGAGGCAACAAAAGAAATGGCCAGCAGACAAAAAGCTGTAATGAAGAAATACAGTACTAAAGATAAAATGTACGTTCTCCTCTCATGTCCAATCCCTCTTAAACTTGTTTTGGACTTAATGCTCTTCGAGGTGCCCAGGACACGCTTCAGGATCCTGTGTATCAGCAAGCTTTTTCTGATTTTGGTGACCTAAATTAAAAGCTCTAGATCCTCCTTTTCTCCTGCTATTCCTCCTTCCTAGCCAAATCCCTCTGCATGGCTCTTGGAGTGGTTTTACATGGCACTCCCACAGAAGAGGGTGTTTTTGTTTGTTTGTTTGTTTTTGTTGTGGTTTTACTCTCTTCAGACTCCAGCCTGTTGCAGAGATATCCAGAGCAAACTCCCATCTTCTAAACTTTCACTAACTTACTATTAATACAAGTTATTAATAAACAGCTAATAAGGTTAAAAACTCCCCCTTGCACCGCAGCATAGAAAGACTCAATAAAATAGAGAATTTCAACACATTCAAGCAAACATAACCATTAAAAAAAATGACTTGTAGATTACTACAGGCATTTGTAAATTGTTCATAGATTCCCTTGTCTGGCACAGCTGTTACCGTATCATTGAACCAAATCCTAATCTTACAAATGTTTGTATAGACTGGGCACCTTAAATTACACGTTGAATGTTATTTTGGTAAAAGCCTAACAACACATTATCCATGGAAAAACCCCTCAGAATTTTCCTTTATTTTTAATTTAAAAACTCTCATATATGAATCAAAATACTATAATTTTCATCACCTGAAGCATAACTCTATACTTCCAAAAGCAGACCCATCTTCTTTCACTGTCACTGCCCATCCTTCCTCAGTCCCCTGGCAATCCATCAGTTTTACTGATGGGATTTCTGCTCCTCTGCTGACTCCACCAAAAACCTGACACAGCTTAGCTTTTGCTGACATGGCTCTGTGGAAAGGGCAATAAGGCTTTTAAGTAGTATACAACGTTCTCCATCTCTGTCACTATCAGTGCTGCAGCAAAGAGTTAAAAATCTCTAACACCAAACTACAAACATGCTGCAGTTCAAACAACCACCTTAAATGAGCAGGGTTAGGAAACCTAAGGGCAAGAATCACTTTAAAGCGCTTCAATTCCACAGCTGAATTTTTAAGACTTCAGTTGGTATCAATATGGAAAATCCTTCAAATCTTGAAAAGTCCTGTGCCCTCCATCACTGGCAGTCCATAGGAACACAATTAATAGATTTATAAATACCAGCATAAACCGCAGTGCATCAAACTGAGGCAGACATTTCCCAAGTCTAATACATATCAGAAGTACCATCTGAACCGTTATACTCAGCAAGACCTACATTAATACCATGAAATACATGAAAAAGGGAAGAATGAAAGGCAGTGCATACAGAAAAATGTAACAAAGGTGATACTTTGGACAACAAGCACTAAAGACAACACCAATTCTCCAGCTTCTAAATAGAGTTTTTCCTTCTCCATTATGTAAATTGCTACCATTTTTAATTATACCTGAAACTCATGTAAGGAGTTCCACTGCAATATTTTATTCATTACCAATCTCCTACATTACAAAAATTCTGTTAACAGATTCAGTAATTTTAAAACCAAAGGAGGCAAAATTAAAATTAATTCTTTGCTATCTCTTTCCATTCTCTTTTTAAAACCAAGCATGCCTGTACTCAGGTGCAAGTCTCCTGCTTAGTGCTTAAAAATTACATTACAGATGATGTTGGAGGTGCATAGCCACACAGATGCCATCAGCTGTCACGCTGATATATTCACACATTTCAGGAATGACACTATAATGCTAAAAGCTCCTAAAATAAACAAAAGCAGGGAGCTGGGAATCTGCTCTGAAACCAAGACCACGGTAAAAGCACTCGCAGTGCCAGTTCTGTCAGCTCTCCTGTTGACAGGTAGCACGTCATCTCTTGGGAGAGATAAAGCAAAATAGAACTACAAGTTTATAAAACAGTACAGGCGTCTTATGAGGCATGCTTTAACAGATATTACAGCTAACAAGAATGAAAAGAGAAACACAGCAGGACTGTAAACTCAGATCCTCAGGGAAGGAACCTGCTAAATACACTTAAATTTAGTGCTTCAGAGCCCAATCATAAAATGAAGGAGGGGTAGAGAATCAAATCAAAACAAGGAAGAACGAGGGGAAATTGCTAAGTCTATATTCCTTAAAAATTTTAGCACCACTAAAACAAATTAATAATAGAGCCAACAAAACTGTGTTCTGGGATGCAGAATGTAAGAAAGAAGATGGATTCCATCTTGAAAAAAGTGAGAAAAACCATGCAGATTCAATAAATGTTCTCTTCCCTCTTTATGAGAATCAAGTCAAGCAGAAAAGCAAAGATTCACCAAGCAGCAGTTAAGCAGTGCTCATTAGAAGGGTAATAAAGCTGGTGAAGGCTCTAGAGAACAAGTCTCATGAGGAGCGGCTGAGGGAACTGGGCTTGTTTAGCCTGGAGAACAGGAAGCTCAGGGGAGACCTTATTGCTTTGCACAACTACCTGAAAAGAGACCACAGTGAGGTGGGGGTCAGTCTCTTATCCAGGAAACAATTGATAGGACAAAAGGAAATGGCTTCAAATTGCAGCAGAGAAGGTTTATGCTGGATATAAGGAAAAAGCTTCTTCACCGAAAGGATTATCAAGCACTGGAACAGGCTGCCCAGGGAAGTGATGGAGTCACCATCCTTGGACGTATTTAAAAGATATTTAGATGTTGCACTCGGGGACATAGTTTAGTGGTGGACTTGGCAGTGTTAGGTTTATGGTTGGACTCAATGATCTTAAAGGTCTTTTCCAACCAAAATGATTCTATCATTTCTTAGAGGGCAGGGAGTGCAGACCAAGCCCAAGACTTTCAGAAACCTGAAATCATCAGCTGGGAGGAACTCATGTGATTCAGAAAAATCACAGGGATGCTGCCACTTGACCTGTGAAACATCTTAGGGTTAGATGACTATTCCCACATTTCTTTAATTAAATCTTGTCATCTTGTGAAGATAAAAACCTCATGACCTGATCAAGAGCAGAATTTCTTATTTTCTTTCTTCCCACAGAAGCAACGAAGACTAAAGGCAGACCAAATACAAATACGAGCCCTAATGGACTGAAACAAGTATGAGTAGCAGCATCAACACAATGAAGGTTAGGTCCAGGTACAACAAGAAATTTACTTTTCCAGTTAGCATTTTACAACGATGCCAGAGTATTTCACTGTTACAAGCTGAAAGATATCTAGGAGGCAGTACTGCTTCCTGCAGCCTGAGTATTCCTACTGTCATAACTAAAATGACCACTGTAGTGGGCAACACTTAACAACTCTGTTCTTTTCAGAAAAAAAAAAAAAAGCAATTATTTGCAAAAGAGAGAAGCATTCAAACCTTTTAAAAAGTTGCACAATGATGAATGCTATTGTACTTGATCCTTATTCTTAGACATCTGCTTTTTAACACAGTTTAAATATTCCACATGTGAGAGGTGCCATGGTAAGGCATTTGCAAAGTAATCAATCATACTTTCAAAGAAGTTATAGAACTTACTGTCAAAAACATTCCTCAATGAAAAAGCAGTCCAAGCTACAGGTGATTCACTAGGTTCCCCCAATAAGATAAGGAAAAAAACCACCACAAAGTCATTCAACTTTTTTAACAAGATATTTAATGTCCATGAAAGATTAAAAATGAATATCTGGGTTGATTCTGGCTAATTCCATCAATCACCTGTGGTATCTTTGACCCCTAACACCAGGTGGTCAAACTATCTGAAAAGACCAACTTATTATATACGGTGTAATATATTTTAATTAAAATATAGCAAGTATCGTATATATTTGCAGCATCTAATAGATCCAGTTACCTGTAGATAGTGTGGTAGTACTGCAGAACATATCTAGCCTTCCAATACTTGATCATCGTCCATCTCTACAGCTTCTTAACAAGTCTATGGGTCAGTGTAGCTGTTGTACCTATTCTGCTAAAAACCTAAAATATATTATTGCTTTTGCCTTCAAAAATACCTTCTTTACTAAAACAGTAATTTGTTAGTCACCACTTCAACCAGATTTGCTAAATATAAATGTGACCATCAGCAATAATATTTCATATAAACCTGAAGTACATTAATATTTTGAAGCATTTTAAAAGTTAATTATAACATAGAAAATGTATGGCACAGTTTATGAATAAAGTATTTACAAACTGATTTAATTTTCCATAATAAATTTATAAAAGTTCTACTGTTAAATACAGTAGGTTTCAAGTTCTGATCATCTTGATATTTCAGTGCTATAGCACTCAAAGCTTCAGAAAAACATCACTGAAGCAGTTGCAGTTTTAACAGTGAGAAAGTTTTCAAGGAGAAAGAAAAAATAATTCCATAATCATTCATGTTCAGCCAAAGGCCATTGCAGTCAGAGGGAATGAACACGATGTCAAGCCTCCCAGTGGGCTTTTTCTAACATGTGTCACCGGTGAAAAATACAGAAATACAGCTGCAACTGGAGTCTGCTCTTCTCTGATTAATGGCCAGCTCCCTCCCTCCAAGTCACATTCCAACCCTTCCCCTTGCATCCCCCTGACAGACACCCGCTCACATGCTCAGACTACACATATATTACTACGAACATGTGGCCCAGGAGAAATCTCAAGATAGCTTCAAGCACATCACAGAAAAATGCAAGATGTGACAGCTATGCCCTATTTTTATCTCTTTGCAAGCTGGCAGAAATTAATTCTCACTCTCTTCTAGAATTACGTATCAACAAAACGTATTTTTTGAGACACAACGCTGCCTTCAAATATAGAGCAGAAAACTTAGATGTTTCTGCACACTTCAGCCAGGCGGCTGATTGCAGTAAACTATGAAGAAAAGCCACCAGACATTTGTGTAATACAAAACGAAATACCGTCGCTGTTACTGTACAAAACAAGCATTCAGATCTATGGTTCTATTTTAAAAAGTTATGCAACAATTTGACAATGCCCATACCTGCTGTTATTAAGTAAGCTGCAACTATGTTGTGCTCAGTCTGTGTAAAGGCTGAATGAGCTTCACTGTCACTTTCTGAGGAATTGGATGAATCATTCCAGTCCATTTTGCACAAAAGGGACTGTCGTCTATCCCCTGCAATAACTCATTGAGACAACGAAACACTACAAAACCCCGTCAAGCAAATTCTTTTATTATTCAACAGACTCACTGAACAATTAAAAAAAGGGAAGTAGGGGGGGGTGTTCCCGTCACCATTGACAGGCTCCAAGCATGATTTAATTGGACAAAAGTACAAAGAAGTTTACACTTGCAATCTATGCAGGAGATTGTTAATTAAACAAAGAGCAACACAGAACTGAGTACATTTCCAGTAGTATGCTTAAACTTCATTCTTACTGCTAAAGAGATTAACTGTCACATGCCCCCAAACTTTTCCTTCAAACCTCTTGTGCAATGCTTCAGAAACCTCAAAAAAAAGTTGGCTCAGGTCAGTTGGTCATCAGCCTGGCTTGGAACTAATTCCCATCACCACAGGGAACACACAAAGCCACAGCAGAACATAGAGGCACAAACGTCCATTTCTTCAAAAAGCAGAACACCTTTACTCCCAAGTCCACTTCTTCAAATCCTTAAAGACCTGCAACTTCAAGACTCTTAGTTTGATTTACACTCTCAAGCTGACACAGACACAAGACACAGGAAGAACACAGCCCAGTATTTCCTAAAGTGAAGCACAACTTTTAGAAAACTCAGTCGTTACTTTCTAAAGTAACCCATTCTTCAGAAAACGGTGTCTGAATATGCCTTAGAAGCCTGAACACCCTCTCTCTCCTAAACACACATATAATCTTACTTTGAATAAATTTTCCAAAGCATGTTACTGGGCAGAAAATTATTAGGTATTTTCCAAAGTCTTGAGCAGCAGAAGCTCATGTTTTCTTCTATTCAGTGATGAGGTAGCAGCACACCAAAGTAAAGATCATTTACAAAATCCTGCATAAATCTAAGATGGAATAAACCCTTGCACAAAGGGCTTATATGTATTATCAGTATGAGCAACCAAAGAAAGCGTTTCCTACCAGTTCCCCTTCACACAGTTTTTGCCTCATTTCATACTCATGCTGCATATAAAATCAACAGGGGTGAGCAGTCAGTGGTTCTTCAGTTGTATGTGGTTCTCGGGCAGCTCAAGCAGCCTCCCAGGCCTGGGCTGTGTCTTCTGCACAGCAGTCAGGGTGTAGTGACACAGGCAGCAGTGAGCAACACAGTCATCCCCTAGAAAGGACGTGTACCTGAAGAGCTCTCCCTTCCCTAACCCATGAAACCCTCACAGAGCATTCCCTCCCACTCCTCAGCTTTCCAGAAGAAGACATCCTGCATTTTACCCATTTGAATCTAAAGACAAGAAATTTTTGATATAAAAGTTGGTGCAGTCACAACATTTAGTCATTAATACAAGTGATCACGTGTCACAGTTCTACCAGTAAACGCTTTCTTTAGTGCCACTCATCTACTCCCTCTCTTCATCTCTCAGGGGACTTGTATTATTATGGTATTTCTTCTGTCAGAAGAGGATTAGAGAGGAACAGGGTGGGAGGGTTCCGAAAGGAAAGATGATCCATTTGGCAATGAAGTTGCTTCCCTAGTGCCCCACAGTCCTGCCTCAAAAGATAAAAGCATAGTGATAATTTGATAGCTTTGCTTTCCTCCCCTGAAACTTTGGCAACATTTTCAAAAGCATCTCAGATCTTGCAGCTTGCAATGCTGGATGTCTCAGAAAAGCAAAGCATTACTATTTTTATTCAGAAAGGATTCCCAACTCAGATTAACAGTTAATGAGACCATAGAGATTTTACACAGTTGCTGGTTAAAATGTGAGTCTGTAGTATGTGCAGCCCATCCTCAGTAACATTACATTGCCTCCATCCCCCCTTGTTTTAAATTTGACTAATTTTACAGAAACAGAAATTGAGAGAAAAAAGTCAAAATTAAAGGCACACATTACTTATCATTAACCTAAACCTATTTTTTTTCTAGAACACTGCAATTCATAAAACAAAGCCAAAAAGATAATGCAAGGGATTAAATATTAAAGTATACAAATATTCCAGAAAGTTGGAACCACAGTTCTTAAGCCAGATAAAATATGGCTTACCACTTTGCTTTTTAATAATGGCATAAGAAAAAAAGAAAAAAAAAAAGTCCAAAACCTCAGGCTGTTTTTATCCTCCAATAACAGACAGTATTACTAGTGTCAGAAGGGAGCTTTACAACCTCAGGTGCTGCTTCTCCTTCCCATTTGTCCAAGATCAGTAGGAACAAAATGCAATTTCTAGTTAAGTCCATCCTTCAATTTGTAGGTGTAGATACAGAACCCATTACAGGGTTTAGCAAGTCGCTTTCAGTTACTTTTAAAGTATATTTCAATCCACAAGCGATGAGGTAGAGAAACTTAACGTTTACGCTAAAAAAAAAAAAAAAAACACACGAAGCTCTTTCCCATTTTCAGTGGTAACCACGCTAAAAATGCAGAACCCACCCAAACCCTCCACGTTTATTAAGCACATCACCACAAGAGGGCTCTATAAGGCAGAACTTACCTTTAATCTTTTTACAAATCGATGCAAACAGTTCAAACCCAGTGGAATATAAATAAATAAAATATTCCCCACCCCTCACTAGAGACTTTTACTGGATCAAAACAGTCGATTAAAACAGTTTGACTCTAATGAGAATTTTCATATGACTGAAGAATCTTAACACTGAAAAATACAATTCCACAAAGCTTTTTACTCGTCACACTTCATACTATAGCTATGCTTTTTTTTTTTAAAGAAGACAACACTGCTTCTTGCCAAGACAATGCTTTGCACAACTGCAAATAACTGTGCACCAGTACGTGACTATCCAGCACTGCTTCAGGTGAACATCCCTCACTTCATGTCAGTGCTGGAGAGAATCCTTTGTGTCCCACAGCTGCCAGTCCTGCATACATTACAATATCCCAATTATTCTCTGCCATTTACCAAATTTCTCCATCAGAGTAAAATCTATGAACTATATTGAAGCATCCTATCCCAGCAGCTACAGAAAACACAAGGAGAAAAAAAACATCCCTCCTAGAAGGAATACAGGAGCACCAAAGCCATTCTCAAGGGGTTACAACTTAAGCTTTGCAACACACCTCCATGAATTACCCTGTTTAGCAAGGAGGTAGACCCCACATAGAAAAAACATAACCCCCTCAGTTTAATGTGGCAAGGACAAAAGGCTCACGGTACTTAAACTACATTTAAGCAACCTGATCCTAATGATATACCAGCTGCCATTTTCAAATTCAGCTGAAAGTCAGACCCTGTGTGTGGGCCAGATGTTGCAGTGGCCAACACATTGACTTGTAACTGCATTTTGGAAAAGCCTACCTTCTTCCTGAGCTTCAGAGCAGTATCGCAGGGCAGCAAACCCACTGGAGCAGGAGGCAGGTGAGAAGTTCTTTAGGTGGCCCAGCCATTTGCCCCAAAGGCTGGCAGTCAGGGAAAATCCAGGGCACACCACGTGGTCACTGAGAGCCTACTGTGCCACTAGCACCTCTCCCTCACTTCATACTGCACTCTGACTCTTGTCCCCAGAAAGAAAACTTCCCATTTCTGCCAATATACCTGTTTCTGTCAGGGCACTGGCGAGCCCACCTTCCCCATTTTCTGCAGGAAAAGCCTAAGATAATCTATAAGAACATATGTAATACTCAAATTCTTGCTTAGTAGGATCTGGAGCACAGTGACAGAAACACAAATGGAATTTGAATGAAAAAATTCAAGGCAGAGAGAAAGGCACCATATAAAATTAGAGAATTTGTATTATAGTTCATTGCAGCACTACACTGCAGGTAAGACATGTTTTAGGTTTTTTTATAAGATACTGAATTTTCATCTTACATTACTGACTACTTCCATTAGGAGTGCAGGGTCACGTGCTGGCACAGAGAAGAAAAGGCAGAACAGGGACTGGATGGACCTTGCCACAACTGAACATGATTCCTCCCCAGAAAGAAGGGGGAAAAGAAAAACAAAACCAAAAATAACTGAAATAAATTATCCGCCCTCACATGACTGACATGTCCAAGACACTGCTTCCTCATATGGCTGCTCATCTGACACCCAGTTCCCACGGATGTTCTTCCACCAGCATCTGAACATCCTACAACCTCCACAAATGTCTAAATTACAAATTTTCTCTGGACATTTCTGTTAATCCCATCCAACACTGTGTGCATAGGGCATGCCAGAATGCTCCTCACGCACTTCTCAGCTGGGACTGCAGTCCAATTTCTGATAACGAAGAGGCTGACCTTCCCTCTGGAGCTGCAATGGATACTGCTCTTTAACCCCTTCACACACAGAGGTGAAGCCTTTGCCTTGGCCCTGCACTGGCTTCAGGCTGACTTGCTGCTCCACCTGCTGTGAGGTTCAAAGCACGTGCCTCTTGTCCTAGGCTGCAAGATGGTACTTCTCATCACTTAAAGGTGATGGCAGTACAGTCTTCTGGTATTCTGGGGAAAAGTACATCCCTAAAGCATGCAGTGAGAACAGCAAAGCAAAGCATGAACTTGGGTGTGAGGACTGTGTTAAATCTTCTAAAGTAATGGAAGGTCAAAGTCAGCTACCCACAACGAGCCACGGGAAGCACCAGTGAAGAAACAGCAGAGCACAGGCTGGTGCTGCAGAGCTGCACCGTGCTGTGCAGGGACACGGCAGCTGCCCAGGACCCCATCCAGAGGGCAGAGCTGCAGCACCTGGCGTGGGAGCCCTGCGCCGCACAGCGACCAAAACGGCCTCAGAGTCAGGATTTAACCCACCTGGCCGAAGTTAAGTCTGGAGCAGTACAGGAGAATAACCAGCACCCCTCAGCTCCTCATCCTGCTGTGGCTCAACAGTAGACTGTTTCTTCTCACAAAAGGAAATCTAGCAGAAATTTCCAGTGTTTTGTGGCTTCTTTTCAGCTGAAGAACATTTTTATCAATTATTTTATGCAGCATCTGTTTTCAGATTTGTATTCTTGAATATTTGTTTTGCTGCCTTGTTTCAAGTTTTGTTCCAGATTACTCAGTCACATTTGTTACAATGACCAGTAACTGCTCAATCCTGGTACTGATGAATACCAGTTCCTTTTTTATTAAGCAGAAAGCTAATATAACTCATTTGTCTGTTGCTTTATTCGTTAATTTAAAAGTGTAACGGCACACCCAGTTCTAGAATGTACTTCTTTCCACACTGAACAAGAAGTTCCAAACACTTTCATGTAGATTAATCTACAGGTCTCTTTTCAAAAGTAATTGGTATACTGAGAGTCTGTGAATGAACTCCCAGCTCCAGATGAAATCCAGGGAGATTCTACTTTTCTATTGTTATTTCCAAAGTTGGAAAGTTCCAAAGTTATTTCCAAAGGGTAGGGAGGCAGCCTGTTCTCCTCCATCCCTACGAAAGGACAGTTACTAGCTCTTTAGCAATTCCTTATAATGCCCAAAGACCTGTGCTGATTTTTTCATGCCTCTTTTAAGCAGCACATAACCAAAAGCACTGTGTGCAGAGCAGCTCTGTGACAGGTTACCTAATCTTAACCCTGTGCAAGCTCAGAGCACCACAGAGGTGCAGTGCCAGGACATCAAAACCTCAAGAGAAACAGGCTAAGGGGGAGGTGGGGGCAGTTAAAAACTCTTTGCAATTTTAATATCAGTGTAATTAGATACAATTAGGTGACTTAAGAATGCTATAATCTTCTTATTCAATAGACATTAGCCTCATCTGTCTTAGCTTCTAAGAATATGTTTTAATGCCTTTGGCTTTCATTGAGATTTATGCAGAAAAATCCAGAAGATATTCTTTGCTATCTTGCTCTCCTTTTATATGTATAAAAAAACACTATCAACACAAAATTCTGAAGTTTAGTTGGTATAAAAAAAGTAGTTCATGAAGGTTGTTTGAATGGCACACCCACTTCAGAGAAACCCAGAAGATTCAATATAAAAAGAAGATAAGAAATAGGGGTCAGTCACACACACGTATCAGGTTCATACTGATGAATGTGCATGTAGTGAACCCGTAGGGTTTTTTGAAAAAACTTTTAAACTGACTGTTTACTCCCAACTCCAACATGAAGTCAAGCATGTCACTTGTCAGAAACAAACACTTTAAAAATAACATTGAATCATGGCTGAGCTAAAAATGTTCAAGTATATCCTGGGCAGTCTTCAGTTCTTCACCTGGAGCTATGCTCTCCTCATGTGTAGGTCAATAGTCAGTAAGTGTAAAAATAATTGTCATCTTACAGCTCCAAATTCTTTTTAAAAAAAAAAAGCACTTTTTCAGGGTCCTTTACAAAAATTTTTCCTTGTTCTCCACTTCTGCAGATGACACACTGAGACAGCAGGGAGATACTTGTGGGTCCATTTCTAATGTCCTCTTCCTATTTTAAGAGGGAAGAAAAACACACTGAACAATTCACATCTCAGATGCATTCAAAGCAAATAAATTACATACATAACATTAAATGAGTTGATAGAATAAAATAGTTTATCATCATCTGTTCTCACAGTCCTTTTTGAATGAAAAAAAGAGGTCTTACACAAGCACCAGAGAGTGCAGGATACTGTGCTGTGGTTTAAGCTGGCTACTGCAATACACAAAAACTTTTTGCTTAACACTATAAACTGTTACAAGAGATTAACCTGCAACTTTATAGTTTATATCATCACTATCTGTTCTCACAGTCCTTTTTGAATGAAAAAAAATAGTGAGGTCTTACACAAGCACCAGAGAGTGCAGGATACTGTGCTGTGGTTTAAGCTGGCTACTGCAATACACAAAAACTTTTTGCTTAACACTATAAACTGTTACAAGAGATTAACCTGCAACTTTCTGATTAATATTTAAAAGCTCTAGGAATCAGAAGCTATGCTTATTACTAGAATGTAAAAACAGCACACTCACCCCGGAAGCCTCCTCCACCACCTCTTCCTCCTCTGAATCCTCCTCCCCCGCCTCTTCCTCCCCTAAATCCTCCTCCTCTTCCTCCACCTCTTCCTCCTCCAAATCCTCCTACACATAGGAAAGAAATTACACTTTGAGGAACATGCAAATTCTTTGTTATACTTATTTCATTGACAGCTTCTGAAAGGAAATGAACAACAAAAAAACCCAAAACCTGTCAATTGCTGGACAGTTACTTGGTCAATTACTAGTACCTTGTCCAGCTGCAGCATTTTAGGTGTTGATAAATGTATAATGTCCAAAATACTAAAGACACTAACAAAACTCCACCTTAAACTTCTTTCATGGGGAAAGAAAAATATTAATCACAACTACTGATTAAAAAGTATTAATTACAACCAAACAGAATGTTAAAACAAATAAATCAAAAATCTTTTCACCACTTGCATCTTGCTCCAAAGGGGCAGGACCATGAGAAGAAGCAAGAAACTGCAATGTAAGAAAAAATTAACTACAGCTTTCAATGAGGAATGTATAGCAGACGATGTCCAAATAGCAAGGAGGGATGAGATCTACCAGGTCATCCACCACTCTCTCCAACACTGCATTTCAAGTATTTTGTCCAAACTAGACTTTCAGAGCTTCCTAAAAATACAGCTTTCACTGACAGTGTTGAGTGTGTATTATCTACAACCCTTTACCACAAGTTTGCTTCACAGTCATGCCTGTGTAATGAACCAGCATCCTCTCCTCCCTGCGCTCGGGAGCTGTTATTTAGCTAGCTACAGGAGCCTAGGTCTTGCCATGGGAAAGATACAACCACCTCCTCCATCAAGTCATCAAACAGAAGGATGCATAACATTTACATTTCTCTTTTCAATACAGTGGTGGATATTTAAGTACTCAGCTGTAGCTTTACAAAAAACAAAAAAACACCCAAGCCCAAACCAACAATCCAAAACAAAACCCACCCACCAAAAAAAAACTACAAACAATCCACCTCACACAAAAAAAAAAAACCACATTCTGAAGCTTTCATTCTTGGGACCTTACCTCTACCACCACCTCTTCCTCCTCCACGTCCACCACCACGTCCTCCTCTACCCCCTCCTCTGGGAGCACCTTTCTCTCCAGGTGGTCTTGGCAAAAACCTCTGAAGGGGCAGCAGCTTTGCTGGATCGATGTAGAACTGCAGAAGGGAGTTCCATTAGATGTTGAAAACACCAAAGCTAACGAGCACATTAACATCTCCCTTTACAATTAGCTGCAGCTTGGGCTTGACTCTTTATGTCAAATTGTCCTCTGCAAATAGCCAAATAAAGAAAGCATGCAAAAAACACATCACAGTGTTATAAAGTTATTACAGTGTAGAGGAGATTTGCGTGACTTTTATTTCTTACACCTTTTTTTTTTTCAGGGCAGGGAGAAGTAAGGCCAGGGCAGATACAAAAGTGAAAAGGAAGGGGAAATTAATACTTAGGTTTACAATGGACAATTAGCTTTTAAAGTTAATAAAAATGTAATAAAGGTTTAAACACCTGATGACATAGAGTAGATTTATCTAACTGAAGACATACAGCACAATTCTGTTATTGACATTGGCTAACCTTTTGCATTTTCTTAAATGAAGAGGCTTTCATGTTCTCAGACAGTTTGACTGAAAAATACTGTTAGTTTCTTTAAGGAACTCAGCAGGACCAAAGCACTAGATATTGTGGGTTCGGTTGCTAAATGAAAGGCACATTCAGGGATTTTCTAGATCAGTATTTTGTAAATGAAACTCAACACCATCACAAATTAAAAACTACAACTGAAAGATCAGCCTGCCTGCCTGTGGGAAGACAAGAGCCAGCAGGGCCTGCTGGAGCAACCACGGGCCCAGCCCCATCCCCCAGGGAAGCAGCAGCCGCTCTCTGCCGCCCCATGCGCAGTCCTGCACCGATCCTGTGGCCCTCCAGTATCCAGGATTTTGGTGCGTGGTTCCCAGGATCAAAAAGAGCTGCTGGCCAACCCTGCCTAAGGAAAACTCGAGATTAAACAGGGCAGCCAGGAGCTGCAAAGTCCAGTAAAGTATTGTCTTTATATGCTACTGTAGGAAGAAAACAAGTCTCTGAAATTCAAATGATTCTGATACAAAGAGTAAACTCTGCAAGTTAATACACTCAGAGCATGAGAGTGATTTAAACGTGCACATTTTACTTCACATTTAAAGTGGAAGTGGAAAATGCACACAGCTAGTTACTGATGCCCAACCAGCACAGGCTGTCACATTAGAGCTGTCCTGCTTCTGTCACGGATTCTGTCACTCTGGCAACAACAAAAGAGTGGATCCAGAGCTCTTCTCAACAAGCTTGCTTTGCAAGAGAATGTCCTAGCAAAAGCTCACTCTTACTGACAGTGTAAGTAATAAGGTGGACAATGAACAACATCCCCCTAGTACAGGAAAAAAGAGCCCGCTACCCTGATCCAATCCTCTATAGGTGAGTAACCTAGAGCAAAAATTTGGTCAGGTAGCTAGAAAAAACATCTTGAACCACCATGGATTCAAGAGACACCTGCCAGTACTGGTACTGACAGAAAACCTGGAATATTGGAAAAGCTTTACGATCAGCACTTAATGTGTGAACAAGGCACCTACTGACACTAATGCTTGCAGCCACACTTGTGGCCATTCACCTCTAACTGGTAGCCAAGCCCTGAAGTATTTTTAAATCCTAGAGAAATTCCATTTAATAATCAATCAGCCTTTAAAAAACTAATAGGGTACGTGGCACATTTTTTTGAAGGATACAAAATCTCTCAGCTGTCCGAAGATTTCATCCACTTTGCCAATCTGTTCCTTATTATCCAAGTACACTGGGGCGTTGAAATAAGGCACCTTGTTTTCTTCTGTTTTGCATTTACAAACAAGGTCATCTTCACACGGATGCATGAACTCTCCCAGTACTGAAACAGAGAAGACACAAGCTAAAGATCCAGAGCAATCATTCTAAATTAAATAAATATAATGCCTTGATGTAACTTACAAACTACCCTCTCTGGAGGCCCCTGGTCATATCCGCCTCTGTTGAAGCCTCCTCGTCCACCACCTCGTCCAAAGCCACCTCGTCCACCACGATTAAAGCCACCTCTGTCACCCCCCCCTCCTCCACGATTGAAGCCACCGCCTCTTCCACCTCCTCTTCCACGAAAAGACATTCTCTACCACTTCCCAATTGTGGAACTGTGGGCAAAAAACAGTCTTTAAGACGCAGCAGACATTTCACGTTTGATTTGCTGTTCAAAGGAAAGTCTCCTCACAGCGGCCTTTTCGAATTGAACGGCGATCCGGTTCAGTCCTCACCAAAGTCGGGCAGGCACATGAACAACCCCGTTTACACCTAAGATGTCACCCACTGCAACGTTCCCCTGTACAGAGCGACTTACAGCGGCGGCATGTTTCACTCCCGCGTGCGAGCGGGCCGACAGCCCGCC